ACATACATGACAATACTGCTGTGTGGTGTGAGGAAACACAAACGTTCACATACATGACAATACTTGTGTGTGGTGTCAGGAAACACAAACGTTCACATACATGACAATACTCCTGTGTGGTGTCAGGAAACACAAACGTTCAAATACATGACAATACTGCTGAGTGGTGTCAGGAAACACAAACGTTCACATACATGACAATACTGCTGTGTGGTGTCAGGAAACACAAACGTTCACATACATGACAATACTGCTGTGTGCTGTCAGGAAACAGACATTCACATACATGACAATACTGCTGTGTGGTGTCACGAAACACAGACGTTGATATACATGACAATACTCCCGTGTGGTGTCAGGAAACACAAACGTTCACATACATGAAAATACTGCTGTGTGGTGTCAGGAAACACAAACGTTCACATACATGACAGTACTCTTGTGTGGTGTCAGGAAACACAATCGTTCACATACATGACAATACTACTGTGTGGTGTCAGGAAAGACAAACGTTCACATACATGACAATACTCCTGTGTGATGTCAGGAAACACAAACGTTCACATACATGACAATACTCGTGCGTGGTGTCAGGAAACCCAAACGTTCACATACATGACAATACTCGTGTGTGATGTCAGGAAACACAAACGTTCACATACATGACAATACTCGTGTGTGGTGTCAGGAAACACAAACGTTCACTCACTCGTTGCGCTGCCGTCTACGACAATACTACTGCTGTGTGGTGTCAGGAAACACAAACGTTCACATACATGACAATACTGCTGTGTGGTGTCAGGAAACACAAACGTTCACATACATAACAATACTGCTGTGTGGTGTCAGGAAACACAAACGTTCACATACATGACAATACTGCTGTGTGGTGTCAGGAAACACAAACGTTCACATACATGACAATACTACTGTGTGGTGTCAGGAAACACAAACGTTCACATACATGGACAATGCATACACCTGTGTGGTGTCAGGAAACACAAACGTTCATACATGACAATACTCATGTCAGGGAAACACAAACATATACATGACAATACTCGTGTGTGGTGTCAGGAAACACAAACACTCACAATTTACATGACAATACTGCTGTGTGGTGTCAGGAAAACAAACGTTCACATACATGACAATACCGCTGTGTGGTGTCAGGAAACACAAACGTTCACATACATGACAACACTGCTGTGTGGTGTCAGGAAACACAAACGTTCACAGGCGTCCATACATGACAATACTGCTGTGTGGTGTCAGGGAACACAAACGTTCACATACATGACAATACTACTGTGTGGTGTCAGGAAACACAGACGTTCACATACATGACAATGCTCCTGTGTGCTGTCAGGAAACACAAACGTTCAAATATACATGACAATACTCGTGTATGGTGTCAGGAAACACAGACGCTCACATATACATGACAATACTGCTGTGTGGTGTCAGGAAACACAGACGTCCACATACATGACAATACTGCTGTGTGGTGTCAGGAAAGACAAACGTTCACATACCATAATGGTTCACAATCCCATAGGCACTGTACACATGTTGATTAAAATGTTGCCATTCGATAATTAAGCAACGGAAAATTAAACAGAAATTATGTGATTGTAGGTTAAATGATTCCTCACAAATGTGCAAAATTTGACTTGGATCTTACGAAAATTATATTCATGAAAATTATTATGCTATACTAAATTAACATGTAAGTCTATGGAAATTACGTCAAGTGTCCGAATACTTTTTGCACGACTCTGTAGATGACAAGACTGGGCCACAATGTTGAGGGTACCAGTCTGGTTATAACAGTGCTGTGGTTGGCTAAATATGCAGACTGGGGAACAGTCTATCTCACAGTCTCGAAATCTGTCATGCAGACCTAGATGAAGAAAGTCTCGATTTTCTTCAGGTTCTGAATTTCCCATTTCATTGGGGCTACTTTGTAAAGTTATCATCGTTCTATATTTTCAGCGTCTAAGAGGTAATTTAGTGCCCACAGTGACGGGAAGGAACTGCCTGGGAGATGAACGGTTGGCGGAGGGGTGCGAGTATGTAGCGGTGAAGGGGGAGTGTGTGATGGAGATAGACAATGTATTACGTCTGTTATGTGAAAAGGCGGCAGGCAAGTAGCTCGCGGCACGAACGACTTAGAACCTGTTTTAGACCGGCCTATTTGGATAGGCGCCAGCCTCACATTGCACATATCTCTGTGCTATAAACAACTATTCCTCAGGAATTGAAAGCGGTGATTGTCCTAGAAACAACTATTCCCCAGGAATTGAAAGCGGTGATTGTCCTAGAAACAACTATTCCCCCGGAATTGAAAGCGGTGATTGTCCTGGAAACAAATATTCCCCAAGAATTGAAGGCGGTGCCTGAACTACTGCTCAAGACAAGCCAAGGCTCGCAATCTACAATATATATCCCTACTATATAACATACAAACAAAATGCCACTCTGTCAAAGTATAATAATAATAATAATCTCTCTTTCTCACACAATTTGATGTAGAGGGATAAGCTAGTATCTACGAGTGTGAACACTATCGATGTGTGGCATCTGTACATCTGACGTTCCTCTTAAGGAGCACAAGCAGTCGACAAAACAGACATGGAAAAATATATCACGGGAAACAATCGCAGTATGAAACACTATTTCACAGAAAACAATCCAATTACAATTGGACCTACCTGGGTCCCTAGCTCTCATCCAGGGAACATGTCACGTGTAAATGGATCAGCCAATCAACTAGCCCGTTAGTGTGTTTCAACATGGGAATATATAACAGCTCTTGAACAGAGAAGTTATTAAGAGTTCGAGAGTGCACTTTGCCGGTGTCTCCGAGAGAAAGACAGCAAATCTAGACAGCCATGGCGTCTGCGTCCGAGAAGGATACGACACTATCAGCATTGATGAAGATTAGCACAGCCTCAGATATAAAGGTAAGCCCAGTTATTTCAATATGTTTATACGTTTATGAATGAATTTGAAATTAAAAGCTGATCTCGATATTCCTTGATAAACATATGAAAATCTGCTGCTGATATTTGAAAATCTGCCATCTGAGTATGTTTACATATTAAGATAGTGAGTTGGGGAGGACTCACGTTTGTCAGGCATACAGATTTCCGTAAGCGCCGCGCAGACGACTGAATCCTCCACGATGAAATGGGAGAGGCACACAAGATATCACTGAATCGAGAACCACACCAGGCCGCCTGACCCTGACCTAGCTCTGTTATCGCCACACCACTGACATGACTGAGGTTACAAGAAACAGGGGAATGATGGGACATGCTGTAAATCATGGAGCGGTGTCTGAATGTAAATATCTAGGCGACTGTATAACACGACTGACACCACATCACATTTTAACGTTTCAACATCAACATCTGCAGCAAGTTGGTGTTATCAAAAGACAAGAGACATTTTGTAAACACGTATCAATTAGCCCTGTCAACTCCATAATGTTACTATGTAACAGTATTAACTGCGGTCCTTATATGAGGTTTTTCTGACATCAAGAAAAATGTGAAAATATTGATACCAGGTGTTCGCGAAAAGGTGAGCGTATCCTGCATCACGGATGGCACCCGTCATAAATATAGGCCAAGTCTAGTCAATTGTTCGTCTGAAATAAATCGGGGACGTATGGTATAAGTCAAAATAGGGAATTGCATCGGACATAATTTCTGTCAGTGATGCATCAAATTTGGAAATTTCCTCCACATGTCTACCATAAAACTTCTTGAAAGATTTACTGAGGCCTTGAATGCTGTAACCTTGATCAAAAAACTTCTGAGCATGAGAGCTGTTTGAAATCCTGAAAAAGCGCTCTTCGATTATAACAAGTCCTGATGTAAACACCAAAGAGCATGCTGGAGCTGATTATACCTCAAAAGTTGTGATCTGTAAACACCAAAGGCTGGAGCTGTTGGAATATTGCTCGACATGAAAGGGAAGTTGACTATTGGAAAGTTGAAATCATCCCTTTTATCATACAGCCTTATTGACATTTTTTTAAAACCGAATCTTTATGCATAGATCTAAATATGAAACAGTTGATGCCGTCTCACTTGTCTCCATAATTTCAAGTTCAGGGCCCTTATTCTCGAAATGTTCGTAGCCCTAAGAATTCTTAACTTTGATCGTAGCCAATGTGTTAAGAATGAGCTTAAGAAGTTCGTAGGGCTGCGAACGTTTCGAGAATAGCTAGCCAGGTGGGTAACTTCAGTGGAAGGCAATTGGCTTTTTCATGGTTACTGAACAATATTGGATCCATTTTAAAAAAGTTGACGCTAGTTGCTATAGTCATTATACCCACTAGGCATATATCCAGTGACAACTCACCCACTAGCCATATGTCCAGTGACAACTCACCAACTAGCCATATGTCCAGTGACAACTCACCCACTAGGCATATGTCCAGTGACAACTCACCAACTAGGCATATGTCCAGTGACAACTCACCCACTAGCCATATGTCCAGTGACAACTCACCAACTAGCCATATGTCCAGTGACAACTCACCCACTAGCCATATGTCCAGTGACAACTCACCAACTAGGCATATGTCCAGTGACAATTCACCAACTAGCCATATGTCCAGTGACAACTCACCCACTAGGCATATGTCCAGTGACAACTCACCAACTAGCCATATGTCCAGTGACAACTCACCCACTAGGCATATGTCCAGTGAAAACTCACCAACTAGGCATATGTCCAGTGACAACTCACCCACTAGCCATATGTCCAGTGACAACTCACCAACTAGCCATATGTCCAGTGACAACTCACCAACTAGCCATATGTCCAGTGACAACTCACCAACTAGCCATATGTCCAGTGACAACTCACCAACTAGGCATATATCCAGTGACAACTCACCCACTAGGCATATGTCCAGTGACAACTCACCCACTAGGCATATATCAAGTGACAACTCACCAACTAGGCATATATCCAGTGACAACTCACCCTATAGGCATATGTCCAGTGACAACTCACCCACTAGGTATATGTCCAGTGACAACTCACCCTATAGGCATATGTCCAGTGACAACTCACCCCATAGGCATATGTCCAGTGACAACTCACCCACTAGGTATATGTCCAGTGACAACTCACCCACTAGGCATATGTCCATTGACAACTCACCCACTAGCCATATATCCAGTGACAACTCACCCACTAGGCATATGTCCAGTGACAACTCACCCACTAGGTATATGTCCAGTGACAACTCACCCACTAGGCATATGTCCAGTGACAACTCACCCACTAGCCATATATCCAGTGACAACTCACCCTCTAGGCATATGTCCAGTGACAACTCACCCACTAGCCATATATCCAGTGACAACTCACAACTAGGCATATGTCCAGTGGTAACTCACCAACTAGGCATATGTCCAGTGACAACTCACCCACTAGCCATATTTCAAGTGGCAACTCACCCACTAGCCATATGTCCAGTGACAACTCACCCACTAGCCATATGTCCAGTGACAACTCACCCACTAGGCATATGTCCAGTGACAACTCACAACTAGGCATTATCCAGTGACAACTCACAACTAGGCATATATCCAGTGACAACTCACAACTAGGCATATGTCCAGTGACAATTCACCAACTAGGCATATGTCCAGTGACAACTCACCAACTAGGCATATGTCCAGTGACAACTCACCAACTAGGCATATGTCCAGTGACAACTCACCAACTAGGCATATGTCCAGTGACAACTCACCAACTAGGCATATGTCCAGTGACAACTCACCAACTAGCCATATATCCAGTGACAACTCACCCACTAGGCATATGTCCAGTGACAACTCACCCACTAGGCATATGTCCAGTGACAACTCACCCACTAGGCATATGTCCAGTGACAACTCACCAACTAGGCATATATCCAGTGACAACTCACCCACTAGGCATATGTCCAGTGACAACTCACCCACTAGGCATATATCCAGTGACAACTCACCAAACTCACCAACAGGCATATGTCCAGTGACAACTCACCCACTAGCCATATATCCAGTGACAACTCACCAACTAGGCATATGTCCAGTGACAACTCACCAACTAGGCATATGGCCAGTGACAACTCACCCACTAGCCATATGTCCAGTGACAACTCACCAACTAGCCATATGTCCAGTGAAAACTCACCAACTAGGCATATGTCCAGTGACAACTCACCCACTAGCCATATATCCAGTGACAACTCACCCACTAGGCATATGTCCAGTGACAACTCACCAACTAGGCATATGGCCAGTGACAACTCACCCACTAGCCATATGTCCAGTGACAACTCACCAACTAGCCATATGTCCAGTGACAACTCACCAACTAGGCATATGTCCAGTGACAACTCACCCACTAGCCATATATCCAGTGACAACTCACCAACTAGGCATATGTCCAGTGACAACTCACCAACTAGGCATATGGCCAGTGACAACTCACCCACTAGCCATATGTCCAGTGACAACTCACCCACTAGCCATATGTCCAGTGACAACTCACCAACTAGCCATATGTCCAGTGAAAACTCACCAACTAGGCATATGTCCAGTGACAACTCACCAACTAGGCATATATCCAGTGACAACTCACCCTCTAGGCATATGTCCAGTGACAACTCACCCACTAGCCATATCTCTAGTGACAAGTCACCCACTAAAGTACTGTCGGAAAAGCTAGAAAAATGCTTTTTGACTTATATTTAAAATTCAGAGGTATTACAGTTACTTAAATAACAAATATCATTTTAAGAAACATCTACCTAATGTAGATCGAGGGAATAAATTTTGAGACATGCCCTAAAATGTGTTTTTACTGATGAAAATACCAAAAACTTAGAAAATAAACGGTAGTGGGACGTTATTTGATACCCCATATGGGTACAATGTGTGAAGCTCATTTCTGGTGTCCCCCGCCGTGATATTGCTGCAATATTGCTAAAAGCGGCGTAAAACCAAACTCACTCACTCACTCACGTTATTTGATACAAACTTTAACTGCCTGTGTTACATCATCATGCACGTTATCGACAGGTGAAATTGACACCTGAGCACACGCTCGGGCGAGGGGTCATCTCAATAGATGTTTTCTTCAAAATGTTGAATATGTGTATGTATAGTATACGTATTGGTTATGTTAGGGATCATTTGTGTATGTGTGTTTGTTTTGAAATAAACATACGAATTACTGTACATGGGAAAGAATCCTATCACTTGTGTTATCTTATCGATTGATTGTACAAATGTGCAACGTTTTAATAAATGTTTTGCATGTCAACAGTATATTTCATTGCAGAAATATGGATGTAATTCGGTCAGTGTAATCTAGTTGTGAACATTGGCCAAAGATTTAACGAAGTCACTGGTGTAGCTTCTTTTGAATATATATATTATTATTCTTCTAAAGTTTGTAGACCGCCCGTGTAAGTACTCCCTTGTCAAAGTTGTCAAGGATGATTGTACGTCCCGGTTTTGCTTTTGAGACGGTCCCTGTCTTGCCTGATTTGTTTACAATATTGTAAACTTGTTGGTAAGACATACCAACAGCTCTACAAGTTCTGTAATAAACCCTTTCTAAACTAATGAAAGGTTTACCTCTGTCTTTTTCAAGCACAAAAAAACTTATAAACCTTTGCAACAATCGACTGCAAATAGTTGGCCATAGTGGACGCTGTGATAAAGATGAGCATGCATGACGGGAAACTTATTGATCAAGACTTAACATTTATATTAATATTTCTCCAATAAAGAAACGATAATTAAGTAAAGAAACACAGACATTCAACATTATTTGTTTAAGAAAAACGTCAATTCATATTTTTACACCACCTGTATTATTAGCATAAATTTATAGACTTTTTCAGATTTCTGTTGTTGAACTCTGAAAAAATCTTAAGTTGTTGTTTTGGTACCAAATTCTCTCCTGTAAACTACCCTTTAAATGCATGGGAATGTTAAAACGATTGAAATAAAAATTAGGTACACTATAGGCGAGTTGATATATTGACAACATAGTACATTTATCACCTTTATAAAGATATATGGGCAAAAAAGCATTTTTCTAGCATTTCCGACAGTTAGGTTAAACCCTGACTAGGCATACATCCAGTGGCAGTGACAAGCTAAATATCTGAACGAACCATCATGTCCATGAGTCAGCAGATTTAAGTCACGGTTTAGCAGACTGATGGATGTTGTTGAAATGTACACTCAGATAGACAAGATAGTACTTTGACAAACCATGATGTTATCAATTCTTTGTACGGGAGCATGTCAAAAGTGCCAAAGGACAAAAGGGCCAAAGAAAAGTCAAAAGGGCCATAGATTTAAGTCAAAAGGGCCAAACTTTTAAAAAATTGTATATTTAGAAGAAATTCATTACATGTGGTTGCAGTAGTTCTAATCCTAAACATCTCAGAGTGACTCAGTGTTGTTTATTTAAAACATCTCAGAGTGGTTAAGTGTATATTTTGAGTAAATATCTCAGAGTGTCTCTACTTTTCTTACATACGTTTACGTTATTACGATTTTTTAAACGATTGGATACGTTGATATATAAATTTATCTTGTCGGGAAAATGAGACAAAATAAAGAGAAAATGTTGAAAAATAACTATTAACACCAGGGTCTGAAAATGACTGATTTTGGTAACTTTAATAAATTCTTGAAAATTAAGTGGATCAAACGGATATCAAAAGATGGTATCTGGCACAATCTGTCAATGTTATCTATATACTCATGTAACAATCTCACTCTGCTCAATTTTCAAAAAAGGAGAGTTAAAACGAACATGTAAACAGATAGAACATTTCTTTTGGAGAGGTGTTTTCTCCAGCTATGCAGACCTGCGAAGTGACGATATATCGGATATCCATACTTTCTGAGAAACTCCATTAATGAATTTTATTCCAAATATAAGATGTAGCATCTTTTGTCCGGTGCATGACAAAAGATTGAAAAAACCCAAAAAAAAAAACAAAAAAAACAAAAACAAAAACTGTTTGCACGGATCTATGGCCCCACCATGTGAGTGGAATGATAGATGATTACTACATATTGATACAAACATTAGTTTGTATGTTCTTATTTGAATCTGATCTATGTCTCTTTTGACTTAAATCTATGGCCTTTATTACTTTCCTCTGGCCCTTTCGACTTTTCTTTGGCCCTTCTGACTTTTACCAATCAGATATTCACCTCACATATGAAGCATTCAAACAGAATAGCGGCGTTTAGTAAAATGATCTGATAGAAAATATTAAATTCTGTTGTAATCAAAAGACTTGAACACATTATTAAAACAAAACAAAACAAAAGAGAACAATTTGAAAACAATATATGTGTCGATGCTCAGTCAGTGGCACACATACTCCCAGTATCCACTCTATGTTTTAGAGTAGGTGCTGAGCTTGCGATATCAATGGAGACTTGCCTGCACGGCAGTCGCCATTTGCTGGAACCGGGCGCCCATTTGGTTTGGCGAGTTTGATTGTGTTTGGTTCGTTGACCGAAACCTTCGGTGAGAAGCAGATAAAGGCCTACGTGTAATACAGCTCCAGCAAAGTCATCGGATGCAGTTACTATGGAAACAGAAAGAAGTACTATGGTTCTCCAGCCAGTGAAGAATTGGTTTTGATTAACATCCGTTCATAACTATTATTTTGTTTCTCACCCATAAAAAGACTTTCAAACCATTGTAATAATGTCTCTTATACCACAAGTTAGTGTTGGGAATTGGTTGAAATCTCTTATACCACAAGTTAGTGTTGGGAATTGGTTGAAATCTCACAATTGATGATTGTTTCATTATCAACGACTAATCATCGAAAAAAATTGGTTAGCGTCATTTTTCAGATTTTCCTATCAAGGTTGTTATTGCAGATATGTATAATATGATGCAACTGGCTACTTTAAAGTGATGACTAATATACCATGAACATAAACGTCCCGGAGTCTTCAAGAAATATTCAGTCATGGCTTTCAGTGACCGCCTCCGTGGTGTAGTGGTTAGAGCGTCCGCCCAGAGAGCGGAAGGTCGCGGGTTTGATCCCCGACCGCGCCATTCCAAAAGACGTTAACAATGGTACTTGTTGGTCCCTGCCTGGCGATCGGTATTAATGGGTACAACAAGCACTGGTCGGCTCGGAGTCAGTATAATGTGTCTGAGTGGGGTATTCATGCTTCACTGCGGCATGGTAACTCAGTGGGCTAGCACTATACAACCAGCTTCAGTCTGGGCTAGTACAAGCAGCCGCACATACACATACACACGCATGCACGTCGTCATATGAGCGAAATATTCTCAAGCGCGACGTTAAACCCAATTTCACCTCACCTCACCTCATGGCTTTCAGTTAGTGAAGTGACTTTTTTAAGAATTAAACACGTTTTCATGCCCTGACAACTTCAACGATATGTTCCATTGTCAAGTATTTAAAAGACTAAAACAGTTGTCCCAAAATCGTTTATGTTCGATTATGAGAAAATGTGATCCATTGCTTGGTCGTTTCGTCACTGCGATCAATCTTCGATTATTTCAATTAATCGGAACACCACTACCACAAGTATGTAGGTTTTTTCACTAGGCCACTTGGTTAAGGCTTTACTATTATCACACCACATTTGACTGTATATCATGCTAACATCCTCAAACATAACATTACCAAGTAAACAGCTGCTATGTGCTATGTTAGAGATGTGCAAAACATGTAACCAGTTTATATTAATATTACATATAAATAATGCTACACCCCACCCCACACCACCCCAGCCCCACCCCCTATTGGAATTGCAATAAACCTGAGCCCCTTAACAGTACCAACACTATCTCGTAAACACTTTTGTTTATCATCCTCCCAATATGCTGTGTTATCACCATACAAATACCACGTGACAGTACCTGTGATAAATAGGTTATACAACCCATACAAGTGCAGGTTGAATGAAATAGCCTGTTGCTATTTCAGAATGACCGAGTGATCTGTGCATCATCAAGTATAAACTGGGAGGAGATCATAGGCCCTGCCCCGATGTCTATTGCACTGCTGGGGCAACTGATGCTCATCTCTGGTGGTACAGACTTCACCTTGGTCACAGGAAAAAGGCCGGATTCATCATTTGTCCGTCTTCGCTACCCTGACTCCATGAATGCTTGTCTGGTTCAAGTCAGCAATGAAGGCTGGGAGGCCTTTAACACAGCACATTCCAACATGGAGAAAATACACCTGATCACTAATCAGATTCCAGGCCATGCACGAAATGCAGTCCAGGTACAGTTGCCCTAATGCATACAACATTTGTAAATGTTCTATATTAATCATGTCGTCATTGCAGCCCCAGTTAGTTGATGTAACTGATGTTAGACATCTCTGCACACATTTATCACTAACATCTAATAGTCCACAACATCTATTGCAGATTTTATTGAAAGGCTCACCAGAAGAACTTAAACTTGCATTACCAATCCCTCTTAAGAGGATTCAATTGGCTGCTAAACAATGCACAGCCCATGCGGAGGAGGTCCAGAAGCAGTTTGTTGACGTCATGGCAACAATAGGAGAACTGCTGGAGGCATGCACAGCTGCCAAGGGCGATTATGAGGACAAACTGAAGCAAACTAAAGCTGCAGTTGCAGCCGCCAAAAGAGCTGAGACTCAAATCAAGGAACAGAAAACAAAGGCAGACGAAGAACTGGCACACATGACCAAAGCTCTGAAAGATCGTGAGGAAGACTACAAGAAGGCCTTGGATGACATGCCGGGAGCGCTTCAACTCATGGGGATGAAGTTCTTTGACAGGTATTCAGGAGCAGTGCTCATGAGTATTCAAGCAGAGTTGAACCCGATGATGGAAATACCACAAGCTATTGGAACAGGAGTGAAAGTATTGACACCCGTGGTAGGTGGCGTGTCAGACCTGCTGAAATCAAAGACAGAGGCCGTGCCTACACAACATGATAACCCTTTGGGTGAGCGCGAACGGGAAACAATTGAATACATAAAAAGTATAAAACTCAAGATCACCTTAATCATTTCTCTGCTACCAAAGTATCTGGAGTCATTTGAAGACAAGAACAGGCAAGAAGGTACAGTTAGAGATGTCAAGGAATATCTTGTTGATAACAAGGCAGATCTGGACAGATTCACAAAAACTCTCAAGAATAAGTTTGATGTTCCTACGAAGCCAATGATGCTGAGTCTGCTGCAGGATCTCACAACACTGATGGATTCCATGATTGACTTCTCCAAGCAAATGGGTCAAAATCCAGAAATGATTACTGAGTTCAGACAAAAGCTTGACAAGGTTAAACACACCATGGAGTGTGTGGAGATGACTGATATGAGAGCAGGACATCCTCTCGCCCAAGCACCACAAGCTGCTAAAGCCCAACAAAATTCTCTTGAATTAGAAGATAAAATAATTGACCAAGCCAGATTTAAGGCTGAAAAAACATCGCAGATGTTGAAGACTGCCGAAGCCCGTTATGACGAAGTTAACCAAAGAGCGCAAAGGAAAAATGATGAGTTGATGAAACTTGTTGAAGAATTGTCCCAGATGGATGCCAAGGAAATAGACTTTAACAAGATAAGAGAAACTCTCACTAGAGGTATAAAAGCACTTGGAGAGGTTCGCAAACAATGGGGTAGATTGGTTACATTCTTTCAAAGAATGTCCAATGTAATTCAGTGCAGCCTTGGCCCAACGTTGGACACATTTACTGAAACAGCCAATGTTGGAAGGGAACTACAGCTGAATTACTCATTCAGCAAGCTGATGCAGGATACACTCTATTCACAGGCAGTCCAAGCCAGTGAAATTTCATATGTGGTCCATGAGGTTTCAGGAACATATGTTGACATCTCGCGAGATCACCTCATGGATAAAATATCAAGCTTGGGGGAGCTGATTGCTTTAAATCCAGAAACTGAATCACATTTGATAAAACTGAAACACATTGAACTGATGAAGGGGGCAAGGAAAGCACAACAGGCAATCCAAGAAAAGGTAGAAGAAAGGCAGTTAGATATGCACGAGAGAGTTCAAGCCAGACTGTCACAGATTGAGAGGGGAATGCAAGCTGCACTTCCACCTCCGAACCCTGAGAGAGAACTACAGATGCAACGCATGCGCGCTATTGCTCAGGACCAACGTGAGAAGGTGGTCGCAGCTGCCCAGGCAGAAGCTGAGGAGGAGGAAATGTCGCAGTTTGCTATCTAGGTAGTTTTAAGTTGTCTGCCTGTTGACAACAAAATACTATGTCTTAACATTACATGGTGTAGTCTTAACATGTCTATTCATGAGATTCTTGAGAGGGATTTAGAAGTTGATGAATATATAAGACGAGTATATGATGACCACTTCTTATTTATTGTATAATCCGACGTAAATTCTGGTGTATATAGTATGTTTTGTACTTCTGTCTTTATATCACCTGAAGAAGGGACAAGAAGTAGCCCAGAAACGTCGTGTTATACAATAAAGAAGAAGTTGTCATCCATATACTCGTCTTATATTATATGTCTTTTCTTGCTGAATTGCCTAGCATAGTTTGCACAAAACAATGTAAACACTACCATTGTTGTAAATTCTCAGCCTTAGGCTTCTCCCGCAATCGTAATCCCCTTACCTCAACACGACTGCAGGCTAAAATCATTAAAAGGTCCAAACAAAACTTGTTATCTTTCCGTACCAATCTTAGTAGTTATTGTTGCAGTTCCCGAGTCGACAACAAAATTACAGGTCCTCTTTCACATAAATACTCTGCTATACCTTTAAAGTGATTTCATGTTGTCTATTTGTGATTCGATTCGACACTTCAAAAACACGAAAAACGCATCATGACGCCAAACTGCGGATTTCAATTTGACCCATTTAACTCAATAGTACAAACACAAATAAAACAATCCAATGGAAAAAATTTGCTTCCAGCTTCGTTTAACTGATGCAAGGTGCCGTGTGGTTAGGACTGGTTGTTTCCAGTGTTGGTTGTTTCCAGTGTTGGTTGTTTTGTGTTGGTTGTTTTCAGTGCTGGTTGTTTCCAGTGCGCTGGCTGTTCCAGTGCTGGTTGTTTCCAGTGTTTTTCCAGTGCTGTGTTGGTTTCAGTGCTGGTTGTTTACAGTGCTGGTTGTTCCAGCAGTTTGTTGGTTCCAGGTTGGTTGTCTCCAGTGTTGGTTGTTTCCAGTTGGTTGCTGCGTTGGTTGTTTTCAGTGCTGGTTGTTTCCAGTGCTGTGTTGGTTGTTTCCAGTGCTTGGTTCCAGTGTTGGTTCTCCAGTGTTGGTTGTTTCCAGTGTTCTGGTTGTTGTTCCAGTGTTGGTTGTTTCCAGTGTTGGTTGTCTCCAGCGTTGGTTGTTTCCAGTGCTGGTTGTCTCCAGTGCTGGTTGTTTCCAGTGTTGGTTGTGCGTTGGCTGGTTCCAGTGTTGGATTTGTTTCCAGTGTTGGTTGTTTTGCGTTGGTTGTTTCCAGTGCTGGTTGTCTTCCAGTGTTGGTTGTTTCCAGTGCTGGTTGTTCCAGTGTTGGTTGTTTCCAGTGTTGGTTGTTTCCAGTGTTGGTTGTTTCCAGTGTTGGTTGGTTTCCAGTGCTGGTTGTTTCCAGTGCTCCAGTGTTTGTCTCCAGTGTTGGTTGTCTCCAGTGTTGGTTGTCTCAGTGTTGGTGTTCCAGGTTGTTGTTCCAGTGTTGGTTGTTTCCAGTGTTGGTTGTTTCCAGTGTTGGTTGTTTCCAGTGTTGGTTGTTTCCAGTGTTGGTTGTTGTTCCAGTGTTGGTTGTTTCCAGTGTTGGTTGTTTCCAGTGCTGGTTGTTTCCAGTGTTGGTTGTTCCAGTGTTGGTTGTTTCCAGTGTTGGTTGTCTCCAGTGCTGGTTGTTTCCAGTGTTGGTTGTCTCCAGTGTTGGTTGTTTCCAGTGTTGGTTGTTTCCAGTGTTGGTTGTCTCCAGTGTTGGTTGTTTCCAGTGTTGGTTGTTTCCAGTGTTGGTTGTTTCCAGTGTTGGTTGTTTCCAGTGTTGGTTGTTTCCAGTGCTGGTTGTCTCCAGTGTTGGTTGTCTCCAGTGTTGGTTGTTTCCAGTGTTGGTTGTCTCCAGTGTTGGTTGTTTCCAGTGTTGGTTGTTTCCAGTGTTGGTTGTTTCCAGTGTTGGTTGTTTCCAGTGCTGGTTGTTTCCAGTGTTGGTTGTTTCCAGTGTTGGTTGTTTCCAGTGTTGGTTGTTCCAGTGTTGGTTGTTTCCAGTGTTGGTTGCTCCAGTGTTGGTTGTTTCCAGTGTTGGTTGTTTCCAGTGTTGGTTGTCAGTGCTGGTTCCAGTGCTGGTTGTTTCCAGTGCTGTTGTTTCCAGTGTTGGTTGTTTCCAGTGTTGGTTGTTTCCAGTGCTGGTTGTCTCCAGTGTTGGTTGTTTCCAGTGTTGGTTGTTTCCAGTGTTGGTTGTTTCCAGTGCTGGTTGTTTCCAGTGTTGTTTCCAGTGTTGGTTGTTTCCAGTGTTGGTTGTCTCCAGTGTTGGTTGTTTTCAGTGTTGGTTGTTTCCAGTGTTGGTTGTTTCCAGTGCTGGTTGTTTCCAGTTGTTGTTTCCAGTGTTGGTTGTTTCCAGTGTTGGTTGTTTCCAGTGCTGGTTGTCTCCAGTTGTTTGTTGTTCCAGTGTTGGTTGTCTCCAGTGTTGGTTGTTTCCAGTGTTGGTTCCAGTTGTTTCCAGTGTTGGTTGTTCCAGTGTTGGTTGTTTCCAGTGCTGGTTGTTTCCAGTGTTGTTGTTGTCTCCAGTGCTGGTTGTCTCCAGTGCTGGTTGTCTCCAGTGTTGGTTGTTTCCAGTGCTGGTTGTTTCCAGTGTTGGTTGTCTCCAGTGTTGGTTGTTTCCAGTGTTGGTTGTCTCCAGTGTTGGTTGTTTCCAGTGTTGGTTGTTTCCAGTGTTGGTTGTTTCCAGTGTTGGTTGTTTCCAGTGTTGGTTGTTTCCAGTGCTGGTTGTCTCCAGTGTTGGTTGTCTCCAGTGTTGGTTGTTTCCAGTGCTGGTTGTTTCCAGTGTTGGTTGTCTCCAGTGTTGGTTGTTTCCAGTGCTGGTTGTTTCCAGTGTTGGTTGTCTCCAGTGCTGATTGTCTCCAGTGCTGATTGTCTCCAGTGTTGGTTGTCTCCAGTGTGATCTAGCTTCTTCGACTGTGACCTACATCCAGTTTTAAAGAAGAAGAGGAGGAAGAACGGCAACAGTAGTGACACTTCTAAATGCCATATAATGACTACATACGACATTGTTAGACTCCCCATTTGGTTCAGTACCGCCCAATATCTTCGCTTGGCTGACACAGCGGAACTACCCGTGTTTGTCCAGGAACACGGCTCTTCTCACTGTCTGGCTAATAAAGATGGCTGTAGTGTAGGAGGGAGAGGAGGAAGGGGGGTTGGGGTGGGGAAGAAGAGAGATTCACATCCTCCAGAAAGACTTTGTGGATTTGACTAGATAGCGGAGAAGTACCACTCGCTGTCAGGGCTGCAGGTGGTAGGACAAGGTCCTGAGCTTATGATGAGCCCGGTTGTGCCGTTGCTGCATTAGTATGTCATGATAATGATCATTTGTACATCCAGACAGGTTTTGTTTCATGTTCTTATGTTTTCTTAACTAACTTATTGAAGTTGCTTTCTTCTGTCATCTTTTCTTGTTATCTTTCTATCTGATGAATAGTTCATCACCTGTTGCGTTTTTCTTATGAATAGTTTTGGTGGGATGACAACCTTGTCCGTGTTATTCAAACTAAGAGTGTTCACCTTGCCAAGCCAACATGACACACAGTGTATCACAGCCACTGTGAAGCCGACATGACACACTGTGTAACACAGCCACTGCCAAGCCGACATGACACACTGTGTAGCACAGCCACTACCAAGCCGACATGACACACTGTGTAACACAGCCACTGCCAAGCCGACATGACACACAGTGTAATACGGCCACTGTCAAGTCAGCATGACACTGTGTAGCACAGCCACAGTCAAGCCAACATGACACTGTGTAACACAGCCACAGTCAAGCCAACATGACACTGTGTAACACAGCCACAGTCAGGCCGACATGACACACTGTGTAACACAGCCACTGTCAAGCCAACATGACACTGTGTAACACAGCCACTGTCAAGCCAACATGACACTGTGTAGCACAGCCACTGTCAAGCCGACACTACGCACTGTCTAACACAGCCACTGTCAAGTCAACATGACACACTGTGTAACACAGCCACTGTCAAGCCGACATGACACTGTGTAACAAAGCCACAGTCAAGCCGACATGACACACTGTGTCACACAGCCACTGTCAAGCCAACATGACACTGTGTAACAAAGCCACATTCAAGCCGACATGACACACTGTGTCACACAGCCACTGTCAAGCCAGCATGACACACTGTGTAACACAGCCACTGTCAAGCCAACATGACACTGTGTAACAAAGCCACAGTCAAGCCAACATGACACTGTGTAACAAAGCCACAGTCAAGCCGACATGACACACTGTGTCACACAGCCACTGTCAAGCCAGCATGACACACTGTGTAACACAGCCACTGTCAAGCCAACATGACACTGTGTAACAAAGCCACAGTCAAGCCAACATGACACTGTGTAACAAAGCCACAGTCAAGCCGACATGACACACTGTGTCACACAGCCACTGTCAAGTCAGGATGACACTGTGTAGCACAGCCACTGTCAAGCCAACAAGACACACTGTGTAACACAGCCACTGTCAAGCCGACATGACACACTGTGTAACAAATCCACTGTCAAGCCAGCATGACACTGTGTAGCACCGCCACTGTCAAGCCAACATGACACACTGTGTAACACAGCCGCTGTCAAGCCAGCTGTATAACACGACAGCTGTAACCCTGCATTCTGTAACCTACAAGTGTACGGCGGACATAGCATTATTGCCAAAAGGTTTACCTACTATGATATTGAGAAAGAAGCTTTTTATATAAATTCAGCTGTTTCATCCAGAAGTTGTTATATTGGTTTGTAGCCTCTGAGTGACCTATCAGAATCTGCAAAGACTGACAAAGCACTCAATACTCAATATCTTCCCTAAAGCCAACTTTGTCATAGTTGGAGGATACCGTGTGTTTAATGTAGATATAAGTTACCCCTGGACTCAATCCCGATTATTATGTAACAGTGCACTCGGTTCCTAATTCAGAATGGCGCTTGTAGCCTAGCTCTTCATTACAAACACTATTTGTATCTCCTAATGATATACAAGTCACAGACATATCTAGCTTAAAAACAGTAACTAAATAAGACCATCATTCTGATGTACATAGTAGGTTTTAGTTCTACACAAACCTATATCCACATAGAACTGAGAACATGTGAAATACAAGATAATACTTGTATACCCCAACATCACATCCACAAGCTGTGTGGAGGAACTTCAGGGATGAGACCAGACAAAAACACCAAAGATTGGAATAACATGTTACCATTACAGTTCCTGCAATATGATTAATCGGAAGTTTCAAATCACAGTAACAACCTCTAATTTATAGAGAAGGTGACAAGATTACTCCGTGTGTGACAGTGATTACCGGAAGGAGTATGGTTAGTACTGTTTGTACCACAGTAATTACCCTATGTGTGACATTGATTATCGGAAGGAGTATGGTTATAACTGTTTGTACCACAGTAATTACCCGATGTGTGACAGTGATTACCGGAAGGAGTATGGTTATTACTGTTTGTACCACAGTAATTACCCTATGTGTGACAGTGATTATCGGAAGGAGTATGGTTATTACTGTTTGTACCACAGTAATTACCCTATGTGTGACAGTGACTACCGGAAGTAGTATGGTTAGTACTGTTTGTACCACAGTAATTACCCTATGTGTGAGAGTGATTATCGGAAGGAGTATGGTTGTTACTGTTTGTACCACAGTAATTACCCTATGTG